TCCTGAGATAACTCTTGTTATAAATTGGCTCTATACAAATACAATTGAATTGAATTGAATTGCATGTACATTGTATGTACGCTTTATTTTAGTTATATCTTGCGTGTGTTTCAGATGTGTTGGGAGGATACAACGGGACCATATTTGCTTACGGTCAGACGTCGTCTGGAAAGACTCACACCATGGAGGTCAGTCAGATTTAGCTTAAATTGCGAAATCAAAAAAAAAAACGTGAACGCAGGTTATAAAAATATATAATAATATTTAATTCTTCAAACAGCTGTTTCTGTTTATCTTCTCTCTATTTTGTTAAAGCCATTAAATTATCTCGTGTAACTGATGCATTTAACCTCACCTTTTCTGTTAAAATAATGTTTTTATTAAATTTTCCAGGGGAACCTGCATGACCCTCGTCTGATGGGAATCATCCCCCGTATCTCCAGAGACATCTTTGACCACATCTACTCCATGGACGAGAACCTGGAGTTCCACATCAAGGTGATGATGCCATTGTCACACTGATTACATCATCAGTCAGGAGCCACGTGTTTTAAAATATGATTTATTAAAACATCTTGTTTTATGTTTTAATTAGAATTAAAATGTGTCTCATTCATACACAAAATATTCAAACATTCTTGTTGGACCTCTGGGACTCTGTAGCTTCCTTTTATTACAGATATTTAGACTCTGCTGTATCCTCTGTCTGTATATAGTCCAAACTGATCTCTGATCAGATGTCCTGCAGAGAAAGCAGTGAGGCGTTCATAGACCCACCTGCTCTCCATATGTTCACTGTTCACCAGCACTCACAAATAAATATCAGCACTTCTTTATTGACGTCAACAAACAAGTAATCATCAACAGAAATCAACTGTTGGTGTAAAGATTCCAGTATTGATCATTTTACAGTCTTTAGATTGATAGAAAAACTAATCAATTTAAAGTTCAGTTTGACTGTTTTATAATGTAGACAGTGTTATTAAAATCGTATAAGATAATATAATTAGAGCTGTTAAAATTAATATATCATCACTCACTCAGAAATTTTATTATTTCATGACCATTTCATTTTAATATGTTTTAAAATTTGGATGTATTGTCAGGCCCAGTTAATGTTTTTCTGTCCTGTTCAGGTGTTGTCTTTGTCTCTTCCTGTTTTATTTTGAAGTCTGGTGCATCCTGTGTTCCTGTCAAGTTTCCCGCCTGTGTGATTGTTGCCCGCCTAATGTGTTACACCTGTGTCTGTTGTCTTCTTCCCGTTGTCTACTTAAGCTGCACTTCCCTTCCCTTCTGTGCCAGATCGTCTTGTCAGTGTGTCAGATGTTCCACAGTTTTGATTTCCTGAGTGAATTCCTGTGTATTACCTGTTCTGTTCCCTGGACTCCTGAGGAATTACCGCCGACCTCTGTACCTCTGCCGAATATCTGATCTCCTGGTTTTGACCTCTGCCCAATAAAAGACCCTGATTCAGCCTGACCCACCAGTTCCGTCCTCTGTGTCTCATCCTCAGCATTGTACATGATAGTTTCTATTTGATACGAACCACAGAAGGTAAATTGTCCATCACTTTTAACTAAAACTATAGATATTTAAAGTAGTGGTTTAGTTTATCCTCCACCATGTAAATTAATGCCATATTCTGACAGGTCACCAATGTTGAGTCTAATGAAAGAGCCTTCTGTGAGTCATTGTAACTACTCTTTGCTCTGTCTTGCTTGTAATACAAACTCACTGTACACTACTCTCCTGCATAGGAGTTCCTCTAAATGATACGCTAAATGAAATGTACGTACATGAAATGTTATGCTGCATGTTAACCAGTCATAGATCAAGAAGATTTGTCTTGTTGCAAAAATTAAATGTCAAAAAAAGAGTAAATGTTTGTTGTCAAAAAAATAAATAAATAAATAAATCACAGACAAGAGGAATCTGCCACAACAGTATTACTGACACAGTGGACTGGCTCATGGGAATCAACCACATGTAAAAACACCCGACGTGAACACACTGCCAAAATCCAAGTTAACCTTTCACCTCTCACACCACACCTAAGAGTCCTAATGAAAGGATCAACACTGGTTACAATAGTAATAGCAATTAGTATTATAAATTAGAAATGGGCACTTTCAGCTGCCAAGTTGGCACTGTGAGAGTCAACTTCAAAAAGGGGGGGGGAAATAATGCTTTGTAAATGAGCCGTGTCCAGGTTAGCAATGATTGGCTTGTGCAGTGACAGTGACAGCCCATCAATAACCCCAGCGATGGCAGCTGGGCTGCTGTTATCTGTGTGAGCCCCACACTTCAGTGCTA